CCTGGCCAGCTATTATTAATGTTTAAATTTTACCTTAGTTTTTAAGAAATGAAATCAAACTATGAATACTGCATAACATTTTTATGGGAAAGGTCATTTTGAGTTTGTTGCACGCCTGGTGTAGCCTCTTGTAGGTCATGAGACTAGGAAGTGGGAATCCTACTCAGAAGCCATGTTGCCAATTAAAACAGGGAAGATAGCTTCACAGTGACAAGGAAGATAATTGTCTAGCCTTGTACTGGGTACTTAATAAAGTCTCATCAAAACATTTTACTTAAAATTTTATTATGTTTGGCAAAGACAGATGAAAATAATTTTTAGTATGTGAGAGCAATTAAAATCTAAAGGTACTGTTGAAAGTATGGGAAAATTCAGAATAAGAATGTTAGCCTGTGTTCCTTTTTATTCACATGAATTCTTTCACTTTTGTCCTTTATTTCTTTAATGTTGTTAAAATATCATCTCTGTTGATTGCTTTATAGGTCCACTCAGCTGTTGAAGAAATGGATGGATTAGACGATGTTGAAAACAGCATGTTGTACTATAATCAAGCAGTCATTCTTTATCATCTGCGACAGTATACAGAAGCCATATCAGTTGGTGAAAAACTTTATCAGTTCATAGAGCCTTTTGGTATGTTATCTGTCAAGTCAAAAATTTCCCTATCTTCCCCATACTTGCAAAGTTGTCTGGTACTTTTTCCTAGATAACCTAAATCTGAGAAGTCCACGTCAGTATTCAAAGAAAAAAAGAAAAGCCGTATCAGCTTTTCCTAATGGTTAGAAAAGTTAAAAATGTAATCCAGGTTTTGTTTTGAGTGTCCCTTGCTTCCTAAATTTTGAAGAAAACTATTAAAAATGCTGTTGGGAAAGTGTTGAAAACACTTAGTGATTTGTTTTGCTGTTTAAACACTATGTTAGTGTACCTGATCCTTTCTTTCTTTAGTACATTAAGGAAGTAGCATTTTGGAACGTTCGGGGACAGTGAAGTGTTCATTTTTGCCTATTGCCTAACTGAAATTTTTGACGCTGATTATGGAGTAGGAAGTATGGAACTGTGTTAGCTTTTTTGCTGTCTTAATTAACTTACTAACCCCAAGTAGGAGTAGTAAGAAAAGTAAGGGCAAAGAACAAAAGGGCAAAGGAGAAAGCTGGACCCAGGAAACGGTTGTTGGAGAGGGCTCCTCATTTCCAGCCCACAAGCGGTCATATTCCATTTGTGAGTTACATTTTTGTCTTTTTTTCCATGATTACTTTCTTTTAAATTCAAAACATGAATGACAATTCCTAATTTATCAGGAACACCGAATTGCTGATGTGGTTACCACAGGACAAGTGGTGGGGTGTGATAGTGCTCTGTGGTGCTTTGGGAAGAGGTAGAGAGTCCCCTTTTGCTGACAGCTGGTTGAACAGCTGATTACTACGCCTCCAAAGAGCCATTTTGAATTGCTTCTCTTCTTTCCCTGAATCCTGAGAGCTTGGTAGCTGGACAGACTGGCCAGGAGAGACACCAGTGGTAAGGGTTTATGTAATTAGTGATCAAGTCTTTCTGTATAGCTAGAAATCAGAATTGCACTTTTAGGAATGTACATGTTTTTCTATGAAGCTTCTGTTATTGATGCTTCTTAGAATTTCCGGAATTCATGAAATCCTGTTAATCTGCACTGTTGCTGAACAGAAAATAAATAAATATATATATATATATATATATATATATATTTTTTTTTTTTTTTTTTGCAGAGACAAGTAAACATTTATTTTTGTACCTTTCCTCCTATGTGTATTTCAAGTCTTTCTCACAAGGCCCCTGAACAGAATATATTAATAGTAATCAACTGGTCGGTATTCACATCCATTTTTCTTTGAAAATATTATGGCTTTTTTTTAACTTTTACTGCTTGGTTTTTTTTAAAGACTACTTTTTAGAGAAGGTTTAGGTTTATAGCAAAACCAAGAGGAAAGTACAGAGATTTCCCATGTATCCTCTGCCCCAACCCATCCATAACCTCTCTCATTACCATTATTCCAACAGGGTGGTACATTTGTTGTAATTGATAAACCTACATTGACACATCATAATCATGCAAAGTTCACAGTTTGTGTTCGAGTACACTCTTGGTGTTGTATTTTCTATGTATTTGGACAAATATATCCATCATAGTATCATATAGAGTATTTTTTATTGCCCTAAGAATTCTGTGTTGTGCCTCTGCATTCCCTTTCTACGTATAACCACTGAATCTTTTTTACTGTCTGTATAGTTTTGCCTTTTCTACAGTGTCAAACTTAGAATCATAACTGCTCAGCTTCTCCTTTTTTTTGGAGGGGGATGGGGTCTTGTTCTGTTGCCCAGGCTGGAGTGCAGTGTTGTGATCTCCACTTACTGCACCCTCTGCCTCCTGGGCTCAGGTGATGCTCCCACCCCAGCTTCCTGAGTAGCTGGGGCTACAGTCCTGCACCATTATACCCAGGTAATTTTTGTAATTTTTCTAGAGATCAGGTTTCGCCAAGTTGCCTAGGCTGGTCTTGAACTCCTGGGCTCAAGCAATCTACCCACCTTAGCCTCCCAAAGTGTTGGGATTACAAGTGTGAACCGCCATGCCTGACCAGTACTCAGATTCTTCATACAACATACATTAATTGAGCACATGGGCCAATACTGTGGGCCAGACACTGTTCTGAGGTCTGGAGATAACATAGTGAATGAAATACGGAAACTCTACCCTCGTTAAGCTTCTATTCTAATGGGAGAGAAAGCAACATAATAAAAAAAACAGCTATCCCTTGGTAGTCAAGGAGGATTGGTTTTAGGACACCCTTCCTCAGATACCAAAATTTTCTGATACTTAAATCCCTTATATAAAATGGTGTAGTATTTACATATAGTCTGTGCACATCCTCCTGTACATTTTAAATAATCTCTAGATTACTTATACCTAATACACTGTAAATGCAATGAAAATATTTTTATAGCGTATTGTTTAGGGAACAGTGATGGGGAAAATGTCTGCAAGTTCAGTGCAGATGCAACAACTCTTTTCTTTCTTTTAATATTTTTAATCTGAGGTTGATGGAATCTGTGGGTGTAGAACCCACAGAAACAGGGGGCCGGCTGTATATTGAATGCTGTGAAGTAAAGCTAAAATTGAGGGAGAGTATAGAGATTAACTGTGGGGATGTTTTAAGTAAGGTACTCAAGCAAGGCCTGGGATGAGACCTGAATAAAGAAGGGACGCTACTCTTCTTCGCTTCTTTTTTTTTTTTGAGACAGAGTCTCACTCTGTCGCCCAGGCTGGAGTGTGCAGTTGTGCGATCTCGGCTCACTGCAACCTCTGCCTCCTGGGTTTAAGCAGTTCACCTGCCTCAGCCTCCCAAGTAGCTGGGACTACAGGCACATGTTGCCAAGGCTGGTCTCAAACTCCTGAGCTCAGACAATCCGTCTGCCTCGGCCTCCCAAAATCCTAGGATTATAGGTGTGAGCCTTGCTACTCTTTAGAGGGAAAACGTTCTCACCAGAGGCAATGGGATATGGAGAAGACTCGAGGTGAGAGGCATTGTTTGGTGAGAGCAATAGCAGCAAGGTCATTCTGACTGGAGCTGGGTGGGGAGGATAGTAGGAAATAAAGTTAGAAATAGCCATAGGTGGAACAGGTAAAGCCTAGAGCAGGGCTTACTGTCTTAGGTGCAGTGAGAAGCCCTTGGAGATATGTGATCTTTGCATACCAGCCATGTAAATTTCAGATTTTGAATGAATTCCACTCTTTAAAGGCTTTTGAAATTTTCTGTTTGAGACCTTATTTTTCCTTTTATCTTCTTTTTTGAAAGAAAAGATAGTTTTATGTCACACCATGTCAACTTCCCTCTCTTCATGGGGTTCTTTTTCTTTTGAAGGTCTTGTCTCTTGGCAGTCTCAATTTTCTGATTTACTCCAGTCCATATCTTGCTTCTTTTGCTTCTGTAATCAGATTTTTTTTCCTATCTCTGTGACCTAGAAAAGAAGTCTATTTCATAGAGTCATAGACTTTTAGTTAGAAGGAACTTCACAAGATCCCCTGATCTACCTCTCTGCCTTCAGGCAGGTAAAATATTCTCTTCATTTTACAGGTCAGCCAGCTGAGGTCTGAAAAGTTAAATGATGTATGGAGACCACACATACCTAGTTAGTGGCTGAATAGGTGAATTGAGTATCCCTTATCCAAAATGCTTGGGACCAGAGTGTTTCAGATTTGGGATTTTTTTTTTAAACGTTGGAATATTTGCATTATACTTACTGGTTCAGCATTCCTAACCTGAGGTCCAAAATGCTACCATGAGCATTTTATTTGACCATCATTGGCGTTCAGAAAGTTTTGGATCTTGAGGCTGGACACAGTGGCTCACACCTGTAGTCCCAGCGCTTTGTGAGGCCAAGGTGGCGGATCACTTGAGCTTAGGAGCTTGAGACTAGCCTTGGCAATATAATGAAACCTCGTCTCTATGAAAAAATTAGCCAGGCATGGTGGCACATGTTTGTGGTCCCAGCTACTTGGGAGGCTGAGGTGAAAAAATCTCTTGAGCCTAGTAGGCAGCAGTTGCAGTAAGCCAAGATTGTAACACTGTACTCCAGCCTGGGTGACAGAAGAAGACTCCATCTCAAAAACAAAACAAAAAAAAGTTTTGGATTTTGGAGTATTACAAATTTCGGATTTCAAAATTTCAGGTTAGGAATGCTCAACCTCTACTGGAATTCTTCATTATATATGCTAGTGTTTAGTAGATATTTTCTCAAGGAAGATGTAATCACTGGAATTTCTGAAATGAGACGCCTTCTAAGTGCCTAGTAAAATGACATTGTTAGCATTGCAAGTTGCTTCCATTTATGGCTCTAGGTGATACGCATTCATTGGCCTAAAGACTTAGGCTTTGCTATTTAAAGCTTTGTTTCGTTTTTGGAGGGTAGTCTGAGATGTGTGCTTTTTACTTTAGATTGTGACTATTATTTTCCTGTGTTTTTTTCTCCCAGAAGAAAAATTTGCCCAAGCAGTGTGTTTTTTGCTTGTAGACCTGTATATATTAACCTACCAGGCTGAGAAAGCTTTGCATCTTCTTGCTGTTCTAGAAAAAATGATTTCACAGGGTAATAATAACAAAAATGGAAAGAATGAGGTGAGTGTTTAAAGTTGATCAGAATAAAATCTAAAATATGATTCTCTCTGCTTGTTAGTTTACAGGATTAAAAAGAAAAAATATGATTAATATTTGTGGTTATTAACCATTTAACAGTTTTAAGATATAATTTTCATATCATAACCTTTACCATTTTAAAGTGTAGAGTTTAGTGGTTTTTAGTGTACTCACATTTGTACAACTATCACCACTATCTAGTTTTGGAATATTTTTATCACCCCAAAAAGAAACCCTGTACCATTTGCAGTCACTCCTGATTTCCCCCTTTCCTCATCCCCAAGCAGCCATTAATGTATTCACTGCCTCTGGATTTACCTTCTAGACATTACATATAAATGGAATCGTAATATGCAGCCATTTGTAACTGGCTTTTTTTACTTAGTATAATGCTTTCAAGCTTCATCCATGTTATAGCATATACTTATTTTTTTTCATATACTTCATGCCTTTTGTGGCTAAATACGAATATGGCACATTTAAAAATTTTTTATCAGTTGGTGGACATTTGGGTTCTTTTCTATTTTTGGTTATTATATATAGTGCTTCTATGAACATTTGTGTACAAATTTTTGTTACATGTTTTCAGTTATAATATTTGGATATAATATTTAGGAGTAGAATCACTGGGTTATATGGTATCTTAACTCTATATTTAACCCGATACAAGGGTTTTACAAAGTGACTGCACTATTTTAGATTCCCTCCAGCAACTTGTGAGGTTATAATTTCTCCACATTGTTACCAACACTTGTTATTGTCTTTAAAAAAATTTTTTTAGCAATCTTAGCAGGTGTGAAGTGGTATCATTACAGTTTTGATTTGCGTTTTCCTAATGACTAAGGATGTACATTGAGTATCTTTTCATATATGAGATATTATTTTTATAGAATTTAAAGATTGGAATTAAGACAAGAGAATCCATAATCTGGATAAACACTGTAGCTTTCATTAAGGAAAATTTCATCATTAAAGTTCTTCAAAAAATACATATGTGTCTGGGCGTGGTAGTTCATGCCTGTAATCCCAGCACTTTGAGAGGCCAAGGCAGGCAGATCACCTAAGGTCAGGAGTTTGAGACCAACCTGGCCAGCAAGGTAAAGCCCTATCTCTACTAAAAATACAGAATTTAGCTGGGCATGGTGTTGCATACCTGTAATTCCATCTACTCTGGAGGCTAAGGCATGAGAATCGCTTGAACCTGGGAGATGGAGTTTGCAGTGAGCCAAAGTTATGCCACTGCACTCCAGCCTGGGAGACAGAGTAAGACTCCAACTCAAAAAAAAAAAGAGCATCCATTTATAATGTCTAAGCTTCACCATGTTCTGTTGAGAGACTTGGTGCCCAGTACGAGTACATCCTGGGTCTCATGTTTTTTCTTTTGCTTGTGCTTCTGATTATCAAGAGACGACCCTTCTTTCTTCCTTTTTCTGCCCCTTTGTTTTCAAAGGAGTGTTTGCAGGAAACATTGTCAATGCCGTTTACCAGTGTACATTCTTGATGCTTAAAAAGAAAATAAATACCTGGCATTACTTTTTTCAATTTAAGGATGTGTTCATAAGGGATTTCAGTTGAATAACCTTAGCATTTTACCAAAACATTGTGTAGTAAAATATTTATATTTGCTGGGCACAATGGCTCACACCTGTAATTCCAGCACTTTGGGAGGCTGAGGCAGGAGGATCACCTGAGTTGGGAGTTCAAGATCAGCCTGACCAACATGGGGAAACCCCATCTCTATTAAAAATACAAAATTGGGCCGGGCACGGTGGATCACGAGGTCAAGAGATCGAGACTATCCTGGTCAACATGGTGAAACCCCATCAATACTAAAAATACAAAAAATTAGCTGGGCATGGTGGCGCGTACTTGTAATCCCAGCTACTCAGGAGGCTGAGGCGGGAGAATTGCCTGAACCCAGGAGGCGGAGGTTGTGGTGAGCCGAGATTGCACCATTGCACTCCAGCCTGGGTAACAAGAGTGAAACTCCGTCTCAAAAAAAAAAAAGATTATGTTCAGTACATTAGTATTTGATTAAATATTATCTAGTTTAGCAGATGCTTATGTACTCTGCCAGCTTATAAGCTACTCTGCTAGATACTAAGGTGACAAAAACAAAAACATTGCAGTCCTCGCTTTCAAGGATCTGAGGTTTAGGAAGAGATAACATGGGCAGCATCTGTTCATGGACAGGGAAGAAAGAGGTCAAAGAAGTTAGGGGATGTTTCAAAGGAATTTAGATGTTTGATTTGGGCCTCAGAAAATGGTTCACAATTTGACAAGTCAGAGAAAGAAGGGTGGGTGGAGCAGGATAACCAGCCTGGCAGAGAATATCACAAAAGGTATGAGTTTGTGGTGTGCTGGAAACCTTTCTGGTAACGAAACAGACAGTACCAGAGAAATGCAGTGGAGAGCAGTGGGAGATGAGGTTGGCAATATGAGTATGAGTGATAGCTTGAAGAACTTTGAATACTAGGAAGTTCAGATTTCATGTGATTGGCAGTGTTCATAACAGAGAAAGTTTTAAGAAGTGGGTGATAGATTCTGTTCTGGGTTTTAGAAAGATAGAGTTTTTCTTAAGTAATATTCATGCTTTTTAAAACAAGTCCAGGCTAGGCACAGTGGCTCATGGCTGTAATCCTGGCACTTTGAGGGGCCAAGGCGAGAGGATCAGTTGAGCCCCAGAGTTTGAGATGAGCCTGGGCAACATAGGGAGACCCGTCTCTATGAAAAATTAGAATTAGTAAATAAAACCAGCTCATCGTTACATTCAACTGTGAGCTTCTCACAAGTAGACTACTGAACCTCAGTCTCTGGGAGTGGGACCTAAGTTTCTGCCATTTTTAAAGACAGGTTCTTGCTCTGCCACCTCAGGCTGGAGTACAGTCAGCACAATCACGGCCCACTGCAGCCTTCATCTCCTGGGCTCAGGCAATCTTCCCACCTCAGCCCCCTGAGTAGCTGGGACTACTGGTACATGCTACCACGCCCAGCTAATTTTTGTATTTTTTGTAGAGATGGGATTTCAACATGTTACCCAGGCTGGTCTTGAACTCCTGGGCTCAAGCGATTCACCCACCTCAGCCTCCCAGAGTGCTGGGATTACAGGCATGAACCACCATGCCTCACAAAGTATACATTTTGAAAATGCTCTCTAGGTAATTTAGATTAGCTCACTTGGAAATCACTGATTTAAACTATGGTCAAAAATGTTTAATTTTGGTAAACTTTGTCTTACCACCCTACAGACTGGTAATAACACCAACAAAGATGGATCTAATCATAAAGCTGAAAGTGGAGCCCTAATAGAAGCTGCAAAATCAAAGATACATCAGGTACTGTAAATTTTAAAGGGGAATAATACATCACATATATTTAATTGTAGTTCTATAAATGAAGCAATGAGATCATTGGAAGCGGTAAATAAGGCACATATATTTGTTTGACGTATTGTAGTTTAGAAGCACATTTATGCTAAATATATTTTGTTTAAGATGATAATATAGTTTATTTAAATTGCTCTATAAAGTTTGAGAGAAATAGCCTGGGAATGTACTGCATGATAAAATCAACTTGTGGAATTTTAAAAGTCATTGTTAGCCATGTGCAGATGATGATTCATAGGATTTTTCCCTGGAACTTGAGTAGTTGAGTTTTGTTTTGTTTTGAGATGGAGTCCCACTCTGTCACCCAAGCTGGAGTGCAGTGGCGCAGTCTCGGTTCACTGCAACCTATGCCTCTCAGGTTCAAGCGATTCTCCTGCCTCAGCCTCCCAAATAGCTGGGATTACAGGCGCATATCACCACACCCAGCTAATTTTTTGTATTTTTAGTAGAGGCAGGGTTTCACCATGTTGGCCAGGCTGGTCTCAAACTCCTGACCTCAGGTGATCCATCTGCCTCGGCCTCCCAAAGTACTGGGATTAGAGGTGTGAGCCACTGCACCCGGCTAAGTTTTTATTCTACCATGATTTTAGTATTTTGAAATATATTCAAAGAGTACAGTGAAAATAGCATTTTTTTTAATTCTAAACTCGATTTAGCAAGTAATTAGTATAACTATGTTGTAAATAGATTGGGTTTAATTTTCTTAACTAGAAAGTAAAACTTTATATAAATCCACCATAGTTCTAACATACTAACATTTTCCCTTTGACAGTATAAAGTACGAGCTTATATCCAAATGAAGTCTCTGAAAGCATGTAAAAGGGAAATCAAGTCAGTCATGAATACGGCTGGAAATGTAAGTTTCTTCTGGACTTTTGTTTTTTAGTTGTGTCTTTCTTTTTTAGACTATGGGTATTTGTCGGTTTTAAATAATTTACCTTAGTCTATTATATATACTGCCAGATATGAGCCTTGCTGTTTTAAAGTCGGGGAGTAGTAGTAATGCTGTGTCTATAGTTAAATATTTTTTTTTTACTTAAAATTACAACAAGCACTTTTCTATTTTATGTAGCCTACAAAAACCACCATTTTAAATAACTGCCTAGTAGTGTTTTGTGACTGGTTTTTCACAATTCACTTAAACATTTTGCTAATATTAGAAATTTAGGTTATTTTAGAATTTTTTAGTATTATAACTCAAAACATTTATGGCTGGGTGCAGTGGCTCATGCCTGTGATCCCAGCACTTTGGGAGGCCAAGGTGGGTGGATCACCTGAGGTCAGGAGTTCAAGACCAGCCTGACCAACATGATGAGACCCTATCTCTACTAAAAATACAAAAATTAGCCGGGTATGGTGGTGCATGCCAGTAGTCTCAGCCACTGGGGAGGCTGAGGTGGAAGGATCACTTGAACCCAGGAACTGGAGGTTGCAGTGAGCTGAGATCTTGCCATTGTACATCTTTAATAAATGTATTATTATATTTAATAATAATAGTAAAAACATACGTTACATCTTCAATAAATAGACTGTTACATCTTTAATAAATGTATTATTATTATTAAAGATGTTAAGAGTCAAACTGTAGCCAAAACTTGCCCCTTCCAAATGATGTTTGGCTTGATAGTACCTTCAGTTTAACTAGTAATAAAGTATTTGAGATAGAATTACTCCTTCCTTCCACACCCTCCACCCTAATCTTTGATTGATAATTTTTAAGATAGTGTAGGGAAGAAACAGAATTGTGAACAATCTTGATGCTTCTAGGAAAACTAAATTTAGAAGCATAAAGTCATGAGAAAATATGGTTAGAAATCTCAGGCGTGATCCAGATTCGTCAGAGTTACTATGCTGTGATTTTCAAGAAGAATTTTGGCTTAGATACACCTGAGCTTGGGAGGGAAAGGCCTAATTAGCCAGCCAGCCATTATCAAACCTTTGTAAAAAAAAAAAATGATAAAAGACTTAATTCCTGCCTTAATGGAGACCAGGGTCATAGAAAAAAGACAAATGAAAATTAATATAATTCGGCGTATAACGGTCATCTTAAATCAGCAAAAACTTCAGGAGGAATAGCCACCACTAAGAAAGAATAAGTGCTGAGGTGGTACACGCCTGTAATCCCAGCACTTTGGGAGACTGAGGCGGGCAAATCAGAAGGTCAGGAGTTTGAGACCAGCCTGGCCAAATGGTGAAACCCCATCTCTACTAAAAATACAAGAAATTAGCTGGGCATAGTGGCAACCGCCTATAGTCCCAGCTACTTGGAAAGCTGAGGCAGAAGAATCACTTGAACCCGGGAGGCAGAGGTTGCAGTGAGCCAAGATCACATCATTGCACTCAAGCCTGGGCGACAGAGCGAGACTCTGTCTCAAAAAAAAAAAAAAAAAAAGCACTGAAAGCCCTTGTCTCCTTAGTGATCAGAACTCTGGGATGGGCAAGAAGCAGAGCAAAGGAGGCTCATGTCTGTAATGCCAGTGCTTTGGAAGGCTGAGGCAGGGGGATCACCTGAGGTCAGGAGTTCGAGACCAGCCTGGCCAACATGGGGAAGCGCTGTCTCTACAAAAATTAGCCAGGCATGGTGATACATACCTGTAATCCCATCTACTCGGGAGGCTGAGGCAGGAGAATTGTTTGAACCCAGGAGTCAGAGGTTACAGTGAGCCAAGATCATGCGACTGCACTCCAGCCTGGGCAACAGAGCAAGACTTCGTCTCAAATAAATAAATAAATAAATATTCAAGATGTCCTCCTGAATGGATGTTTAGTCTCCAGAGCTCTGCATGCTTTCATACTCTAAATGGGTGCTACTATTTAGAGGGTCCTCCACCATGAGGATTCTTAGGATAAGTGAAAGGTAATCTGCCAATCAAAATGTGATTTTTGGAACAGCAAGATTAGTGCTTGCAAATAAGACATTCTGTCAAAAAATTCTTCCGTTTACAGAATGACAGTTTTTTTTTTTAATTTGGAAAAGTATTTGTTTATATCTGTAAGTTCTAATGAAAGGTACATTTGTATCCTAAAAAGTAAGAAAGATCTCCAGTCTCTCTAATAACTATTAAAATGAAGGCCATAGCATGCTGTCAAATTGATTTTCAGCTAGTAGTGTAGTGGATGAACACAATCAGTTGATACAGACTTTATTCTGGTTTTTTTTTTTTTTTTTTTTTTTTTTGAGAAGTGGTATCGCTCTGTCGCCCAGGCTGGAGTGCAGTGGTGTGATCTTGGCTCATTGCACCCTCTGCCTCCCAGATTCAAGGGATTCTCCTGCCTCAGCCTCCCGAGTAGCTGGGATTACATACATGTGTCACCACACCCAGCTAATTTTTGTATTTTAGTAGAGACGGACTTTCACCATGATGGCCAGGCTGGTACAGACTATATTCTTATACATATACTTATATTAATTTTTTCAGGTAGACACTTAGCAATTCTTTTTACAAAGTGCTCTCTGGCAAGTTTCAATTTTTTAGATTGTGAGAGCAATGAAAAATCTAGAGACTATATAGTTTTTTGTGACTGTGACTTAATTAATTAATTTATGGTTTTGAACACGTCAGTACAACAGTATAATTAAGATCCTACATTAGGCATCTGAAAACAATTATAAGTAATGTTTATATTTTCTCTACAGTCTGCACCCTCTCTCTTTCTTAAAAGCAATTTTGAGTACTTAAGAGGTAATTATCGAAAAGCGGTGAAGCTATTGAATAGTTCAAACATCGCTGAGCATCCAGGATTCATGAAAACAGGTAAAAGAATATTGTGAAATTTTAAGTTTTTTATCTTCCTCTTCTACCCCTTCTTACTTGTGCACCTCCCAACACCCAGTCTTTCAAGTAATTTATGCTAATTTTTCTTTTTCTTTTTTTTTTTTGGCTCTATATGCTCTGATTCTTTTCGGGTAGGGAACGGAGTATCACTCTGTCTCCCAGGCTGGAGCGCAGTGGCGCAATCTTGGCTTACGGCAACGTCTGCCTCCTGGGTTCAGGCGATTCTTCGGCTCAGCCTCCTGAGTAGTGGGATTACAGGCGTGCAGCACCACACCCAACTAATTTTGTATTTGTAGTAGAGACGCGGTTTCTCCATTGTTGGTCAAGCTGATCTAGGCCTTCTTACCTCAGGTTATCTGCCCACCCTGGCCTCCAGAAGGACTGAGATTATAGGTGTGAGCCATTGCACCCTGCCATATGCTAATTTTTCAATGAAAATACTTTAATATTTCTGCTGCAAAAAAATTCCGGAAATTCTTGTCTCTACTTTAGAAGAAACCTCATTACTTCTTGCTTTTACTTTGCTTTCTTTCCTTTTTTTAGATTCTTTTCCAGATTGGATCGCTTTTTTCTTTTCCTTTCCTTTCTCTTTCTCTTCTTTTTCTTTTTGAAACAGGATCTTGCTTTGTCACCCAGGCTGGATGCAGTGCTACAATCACAGCTCACTCAGCTCACTACCTCCTGGGCTCAAGCGATTCAATCGCCTCAGCTTCCCAGGTAGCTGGGACTGTAAGAATGTACCACCATGCCTGGCTTATTTATTGTAGAAACAAGGTCTCACTATGTTGCCAGGCTGGTCTCAAACTTTTGGGCTCAAGTGATCTGATGACCTCTGTCTCCCAAAGTGATGGGATTACAAGCGTGCCACTGTGCCTGACCCAGATATCTTTTCTTTAACCCAACTTGCTCTTTTTTTTTTTTTTCTCGAGACAGTCTTGCTCTGTTGCCCAAGGTGGAGTGCAGTGGCACGATCCTGGCTCACTACAACTTGCACCTCCCGGGTTCAAGTGATTATCCACCTCAGCCTCCTAAGTAGCTGGGACTACAGGCATGTACCACCACACTCAGCTGATTTTTCTGTTTTTTTGGTACAGTCTGGGTTTCATCATGTTGGCCAGGCCAGTCTCAAACTCCTCACCTCAAGTCATCTGCCCACCTCAGTGTCTTAAAGTGCTGGGATTACAGGTATGAGCCACTGCACCTGGCTCTTTCATTTGTTTTTATAAGGTCCTTGGACTTTTGCTTTGAGACCTTTTAAGTAAATAATATAATGTTCTTAACTTTTTTCTGCCATAAAGGCAGTTAATAATACGATTTTTTTCAGTAACTTGCCCAATGAATAGGACTTCTTTAGATCATTAACTATATCAAAAAATCTTTCTATAAAGCTATGAAGATAAGTGTTATTACATATTCTTACCTCTATTTAGAAAGTCTTACAAATCCCTTAATATTAATGGTAACATGAAAGTAAAAATTGTGAATGTCATTTAGGTTTATATCATTACTATTTTATGGAGCAGGAGAAGGAAAATCATTTATTCAAGAAATGAGGATAAACTATTGAAAATGTATGTTTTGTCTCAAGTTTAAAATGCAAACTACATGGTTTTTGGTTTGTTTTGGATTCTATTTAGATACACACACGAGTATACCTGCAAACACACTCAGACCTTCCCCCATTTACCCTTTCAGTTCACTGGAGTGATGGAGGATGGAGAAGGGCACTTTGTTCCTTATAATTCTATTGAGGGTATTCTTTCTTTTCTAAATACCCATTTCTAATTCTGCTCAATTTTAGTTTTTTGTTTTCATTGTTGTAGTTTCTCCTCACAGTCCACTTGGCCGAGCTAGTCTCAAACTCTTGACCTCAAGTGATTCACCCGCCTGGGCCTCCCAAAGTGCTGGTATTACAGGCATGAGCCACAGTGCCCGGCCTCACTCCGTCCTTTTCTGTATATTCTTGCTATTCATTTAATATACTTTGGCAGTTTCCACATATACTTGCTTCCTTGTTTCTAATTTCTACGTAATATTTCATTGGTAGATACAATGCATAAACATTACTGAGAAATATTTTTTGTTTTTGCATTTTTGTATCATTTGTCTACAGTTATTAAAAATTAGCTGGGCATGGTAGCACATGCCTGTAATCCCAGAACTTTGGGAAGTGAAGGCAGAAGGATTGTTTGAGCCCAGGAGTTCAAGACCAGGCTAGGAAATATAGTAAGACCCTGTCTGTTTAAAAAATTATTTTTAAAAAGGAAAAAATATAGAACAAAATTAGGCTAACAAAATAGGATTGGTTTTTAAAAATAATTTTTCTCACCTTTAATAAAAGAGATTTTAAAAGGAGTTTTTAAATTTTTCAGATGTTTCCTAAATTTCAAATGCCTTGTCAACCGTTCTTTAGGTAGTAAGTGGAATGGTAACAGGGTTAACCCAACAAAGATAAGCCCAATTCTTGTCTGAGGAACATCAACATTAAAATATTTCTGTGGACACATTTTGTTGTGTTTTTCTCAGGTGAATGCTTGAGATGCATGTTCTGGAACAACCTTGGGTGCATCCATTTTGCCATGAGCAAGCACAATTTGGGATTATTCTACTTTAAAAAGGCTCTGCAGGAGAATGACAATGTCTGTGCACAGCTGAGTGCAGGCAGCACTGATGCAGGTAAGCCCAGTACTGGGGGACAGTTTGTATTTATTACTTCAGAAAAGCGTGATTTAAAAAGCATGAATGTGGTACAAGTACCCACCTTGTAGACTTATAAACAGTTAACTCTGATCTTACCCAACAAGCTTGGCTCTGGGGATTTTTAGTAGATATTGCTGCTTTGAATAGCAATTACAAGGTGTTAAGAGTAATTCTGAATTATCCAGAGATTTAAGTTGCATTCCATTTTTCATGAATTTGAAAATGACTGATTCCCTGTGGTAATATTATATACCAGAATGTTTGATTAGTCACAACATGGCTGTGCCAAACTAGGTTTATTTTATATATATATATATTAAAATATATATAATATACATATATAATAAAAATATATATAATAAAAAATATATATAAATATATATATATATATTTTTTTTTGAGACAGAGTCTAGCTCTGTCACCCAGGCTGGAGTGCAGTGGTGCAATTTCAGCTCATTTTAACTTCTGCCTTCTGGGCTCAAGTGTCCCTCCCACCGCAGCCTCCTGAGTAGCTGGGACTATAGATATGTGCCACTGCACCTGGCTAATTTTTGTGTTTTTTGTAAAGACAGGGTTTTGCATGTTACCTAGGCTGGTCTGGAACTCCTGGGCTCAAGGGATCCTCCTACCTCCGCCTTCCAAAGTGCTGGAATTACAGGTGTGAGCCACTGTGCCCAGTTTATTATAGATTCTTTGCAGAGTTTTGCATGTGATACTGTTGGTTAGCATCTGACAGTCTTTAAGCAAATTCTTAATGTTTATCCTTTAATATTCATTATCATGGGGATCCTTGATCCGAAATGCCTAATATCAAGCAATTATTTAGCTTTTAAAAATAACCTATTTAATGACAAAGGTATTCTAAATCAAAATAGACTGTAACACTGAATAAATAGGTGATAACACATGATAATAAAATTGTTAACCAAAATGAAGGAAAAAAAATTTTTTTTTGAGACGAAGTCTCATTGTGTTGCCCAAGCTGGAGTGCAGTGGCACGATCTTGGCTCACTGTAGCTTCTACCTCCTGGGTTCAAGTGATTCTCCTGCCTCAGCCTCCTGAGGATCTGGGACTACAGGCATGTGCCACCATGCCCACTTAATTTTTGTATTTTTAGTAGAGATTTGGTTCACTATGTTGGCCAGGCTGGTCTTGAACTTCTGACCTTGTAATCTGCCCACCTCGGCCTCCCAAAGTTCTGGGTTTGCAGGCATGAGCCACCATTCCCTGCCGAAAATTTTAAAAAGTGGAAACTTCTTACAGACTCTAAATATGTTAGCTGGGAGAGATGGCTTATGCCTGTAATCCCAATATTTAGGGGAGGCCAAAGTGGATCACTTGAGTCCAGGAGTTCAAGACTAGCCTGAGCGACATACAGAGACCCCATTGCTACAAAAATAAAAGTAAAAATTAAACAATAAAAGAGAATAAAGTAAAAATGTAGAAAAGCAGTATAAGATTCAAAGGAGTGAGAGTGGGTCCTATCTCTTACCTTTGCCTTCCTGGAGCATTATTACCTGAGTAGCTGGTGAATAAGAAGAGACATCTCTGGCTCTGCCAGCATAAATAACTGAGATGACTGGAAAATATTTGTGGGGTTGAGGATGGAATCCACCATTGGTAAGAGCTATAATCAGATTAGGATTATTGGTGTCAAACATGGTAGTGTCTAAGTACTTAATGGAATGAATGTTTTCAAGGTAACTGTTACTAATGATTTATTCTTACCTAATTTTTATCACTAGGCAAAAAATTTTCAGGAAGACCCATGTGTACATTACTAACCAATAAGAGATATGAGCTGCTGTATAACTGTGGAATTCAGCTTCTTCACATTGGAAGGCCTCTTGCTGCCTTCGAATGCCTGATTGAAGCTGTTCAGGTTTATCATGCAAATCCTCGCCTCTGGCTACGGCTGGCTGAATGCTGCATTGCTGCCAATAAGGGGGTGAGTGCTGCTTGGTATCTTTTTGGACCCTATCTTACCTCCACTTACTACGTGGAATGTAAAAAAAAAGAAACTTTGAAACATACATAAGACATCATTCTCTTTTATTTATTTATTTGTATTTTATTTATTTCTTTTTGAGATGGAGTTTCTCTTGTTGCCTAGGCTGGAGTGCAATAGCGCAATCTTGGCTCACTGGAACCTCCGCCTCCCAGGTTCAAGCGATTCGCCTACCTCACTCAGCCTCCCAAATAGCTGGGACTACAGGCATGTGTCACCATGCCTGGCTAATTTTGTATTTTTAGTAGAGACAGGGTTTCACCATGTTCCCCAGGCTGGTTTTAAACTCAGATGATCCACCTACCTTGGCCTCCACTTTCCACTCTCAAAGTGCTGGGATTACAGGTGTGAGCCACAGCACCTGGCCATCATCATTCTCTTTTTAACTATCATTGAATATATAGATGGTCTTCTTTAACCACTGGGAAAAAAATTTAGTTTCAAAAACTCGTTCGTTGGCTGGGCACAATGACTCACGCCTGTAATACAAGTACTTTGGGGGGCCAAGGTGAGTAGATCACTTGAGCTCAGGAGTTCAAGACCAATCTAGGCAACATAGTGAGACCGAGACTTCCATCTCTACAAAAAATTATCTTGGTGTGGCGGTGAGTGCCTGTAGTCCCAGCTAATCAAGAGGCTGAAGTGGGAAGATAGTTTGAGCCCAGGAGGTATAGGTTGAAACTAGACCAGATAGAGCCACTGCACTCCACCCTGGGCAACAGAGTGAGACAATGTCTCAAAAAAATGAAAATGAAAATTTAAAAAGTCATTTGTTAACATTCTCATTCTTGGTAAGTATGGCAACATTAAAGAGTTGAAGCCAGTCAGAAAGTCATGTATGTTGGAACAGTGGCCTGCTAGCTGCTGCAGGGGTCGGGAGCCATGCCATCTGCTGGCGTAAGAATAGTGTTGTGTAGCCTGCTGATCAGAGGTCACAATGTAGGAAGAACTGCATTAAGCTGAGTTTCCTTCAATGCCTGAGGGTTCTACTTTGGTTTCAGTAAATGATACAGAGTTTATGGATTACCAGGCTATTTCGGACACATGATTGCCCGTGGTAGCTATGAAAATAGGCCAGTTTACATTGATGTCTCTGCTTAGATTATCTCCAAATGGCAATTGGTCAAAGCAATTTGAATTTCGGTTTGGGAAGGATCAATAGGAGATAGGGGAAAGATGGATTGTATCAGAATTACCAGATACTTGTATCTTCCATTTGCTACCCATCCCCTGCTCACGCTGTGCTTTTTGGATGTGTATAAATATTGGGAAGGTATGGTACCTGGAGGCTTTACCTTGCATGCCTGCCATAGGTGATACAAATGTTGAGGCTTTCCTCCTGCTGAACAGTTTCAGAGAAGTACAAGAGCTAAAGGGGTTAAAGAGATGTTTGCTAGTTTTCATACATAGTACTTCCGTAGTTTATGATTTGAGTATACCATTAGAGGAAGAGATGAATGATGTCTTTGAAAGACTTTATTTAATTATACTTTGCTTTTTAAAAGACAACTTTCTTATTGGTTAATTATTAACTGATAAACAGTTCTAGGCAGAATTTAGACTTCTTAAAGTTGCAAGAAGCAATTAGAAATTGCTTATTCTCTTTCATCTGTTTATAAATTTAAGTGTTGGGGGCCTTTCTTTGGTATTTACTGGCAACCAGGGAGTTACTTTTTTCTGGGACTAGGGAAAGATTGTAAAGTTTAACATTTTCTTTTTAAATTAACTGATTTTAGAAACAGTACTTTTAGGGCCCCCCTAGAGGAAAAGGAGGGGGAGGGGAGATTAAGTATTTTCCATATTAATATACTGCCAGTCCTGTTTTTTTTTTTTTTTTTTTCTAGAAAAGTTCTAAATTCATAATTTTTAAAAAATGGTAAAGATGACTTTTGGTTGCCATAACTTCATGAACACACACAATCTGTACTACAAGTAGAAAACTTGCCACCAATAATATCTTTGCGCTTTTCCTCCTCCTGAAAAAAACTTTAGGGTAACCTAAAAAATAGTAAAAACAAGCCCAAAACACTAATAAAATCAGAGGACAGATCCCAATAGGAGTAACTGTAAACTCCAAATAAAATTTCATAAAATTTGTTTTATTTAGTCAGGACAGAAGGTATGCTGAACAAAGCAATTTGTAACTTCAGAAATAAATTTATTTTGGATAAAAAAAAATTGTTTACTTGTTTATGTTAAGGAGGTCATTTTGTCCTGTATATCTGGTACATGTTATTTCAGACTTGGCAGAGGTAAATCTTATATTTACCTGGGCAGTGTATAATATATGGGAAAAGATCTGCTAAACAAAAATAGTCTCAATAGTTTAATTACAATGATCCTTTTACCTTAAAACTGATCTGGCACACTTTCTGGCTATTAGGGATTGAAGGTATGGATTATTATTGTAAGTTTTTAGTTCCATTCCATCACAGGCCAGTTTGTTTTCATCTGTTGCATCTTCAGATCTAGCCATTTGGATCATTTTTGATGGCCTTAGCAACAGAAGACATTATGGATGAATCACTGTAAAACTGTCACCACAACTAGGAAAAGAAGTCAGAACAGAAGTCCTCCTAAGAATGGTTTAGAATATCCACTTTTTCATTAATATTGCATGGCCTTCTCTATACACAATTAGTTTTGATCAGAGCAGTTTTATTTTTCTATTATTGTATTTTTAGCACAGTGTAGTATATTCTTTATTAAAAGTCATATATGGAAGTGCAACTATAAGTTATGTTCAGGAGCAATAAGTAACAGTAAAGAAACATTTATGTTTAGAGAAAATATTTTTTGCAGTGCAAAGATTAGTTTTGCAAATTCATATTGATTAACTCCGGATTGTTCCAGTATGTAAGAAATTGAATGTCACTGTAAGATAGCTGGTTGGGATTCCACCTGCAGGTAAATTAGAGACATGTTTTATTTCATTTTTGAGACAGAGTCTCACTCTGTCACTTAGGCTGGAGTGCAGTAGCGTGATAATGGCTCACTGCAGCCTTGACCTGGTGTCAATCTTTCCACCTCAGCTTCCCTAGTAGCTGGGACTACAGACATGCACGACCACACTTGGCTAATTTTTGTATTTCTTTGTATAGATGGAGTTTCAAGCAATCATCCACCTTGACCTCCCAAAGTGCTGGGATTATAGATTCAAGCCACCATGCCCAGCTTAGTTTTATTTTTTTAATAAAAAAACATTTTTCCTGGCTGGGCATGGTAGCTCACACCTGTGATCTCAGCACTTTGGGAGGCCGAGGCAGGTGGATCACTTGAGGTCAGGAGTTTGAGACGAGCCTGGCCAAAATGGTGAAACCCCATCTCTTCTAAAAATACAAAAATTAGCCAGGTGTGGCGACAGGTGCCTGTAATCCTAGCTACTCTGGAGACTGAGACAAGAGAGTCGCTTGAACCCAAGAGGTAGAAGTTGTAGTGAGCACCACTGCACTCCAACCTGGGCAACAGAGAGTTGGCAAAAGTCTTGTCTCTAAAAAAAATTAATACAAAAATTAGCTAGTCATGGTGGCATGCACCTGTACTAGTAGTCTCAGCTACTTGGGAGGCTGAAGTGGGAGGATACTTGAGCCTAGGAAGTAGAGGTTGCAATGAGCCGACATCATGCCACTGTACTTCAGCCTGGTGACAGAGCCAGACCTTGTCTTTAAAAAAAAGTAAGGGCAGCCAGGTGTGGTGGCTCACGCCTGTAATCCCAGCACTTTGGGAGGCTAGGGCAGGCAGATCAAGAGGTCAGGAGTTAAGAGACCATCCTCGCTAACACGATGAAATCCTGTCTCTACTAAAAATCCAAAACATTAGCTGGGCATACTGGTACACACCTGTAGTCCCAGCTACTCAGGAGGCTGAGGCAGGAAAATCACTTGAACCCGGGAGGCAGAGGTTGCAGTGAGCTGAGATGCCGCCACTGCACTCCAGCCTGGGCAACAAAGCGAGACTGCATCTCAAAAATAATTAAAAAAAAAATTTTAACAAGGGCAAAAGAAAAAGGTAGATACAGGGTCTCACTGTGTTGCCCAGGCTGGTTTCGAACTTCTTATTTCAAGCGATCCTCCTGCCTCAGCTTCCCAAAGGGCTGGGATTACAAGCATGACAGCCACTGCGCCTAGCCAAATTAGAGACTTAGAATGAAGGGGAACGATAAATGAAATTATCACTGCGAGGTCTATAGTTAGATAATACATTTTAATCAGATATCCTAAAGTACTATGTTGTGTAAATGCTTTTATTATTTTCACTTTGTTTATTCATTTGGTTTGGGGATTTTAATCTCCTAGAAGGCAAGAATTGTGTTCATGTAAGTTTTTGCCTTGTACAGCTTAAGTTTATATGTTGTTGACAATTTAATTAATACTTTGAGTAAAGAAAGAAATTATCTGTGTTCTAGGAAGTGGAGCTTCTTCCCGGCCTTTTTTTTTTTTTTCTTTTTTGGAGCTCCATGTGCCTTTATTAGCTGAGCCACTACTTGGGCGTGAAGCAGGAATAGTGGGTGGCCCCAGTGCCCGGCCGGGCGTGCTTCACGGGCTTGTAGGTGATGGAGAACTCACCCAGGTAGTGGCCGATCATCTCCGGCTTGATCTCCACGTGGCTGAAGGTCTTGCCGTTGTAGACGCCCACCATACTGCCCACCATCTGGGACGGGATGATCACGTCCGGTCGGCGCGGGAACACTTCCGCCTTCGCCACTTCCGGCTTCTCCATGAGCGGTTCCGCCTTCGTGGCCTTGCGCAGGCGCTTCAGCAGCAAGTGCTGCTTCCGCCGCAGGCCCGGGTTCAGCTGCTGCCGCTGGCGCCCCCTGTACAGCTGCATCAGCTGCTCGTAGGGCATGTCCAGCAGCTGGTGCACGTTCACGCCGTGGTAGGTGAACTTGCAGAAGGTCTGCTTCTTCTGCTTTACCTCTGCCGTTCTTGCCGGATCCTCAGAAAAGACCACTCTGTTTTGGTTTGGTTTGGTTCTGTTTGGTTTTTTGAGACAGAGTCTTGCTCTGTCGCCCAGGCTGGAGCTCAGTGATGCGATCTCAGTTCATTGCAACCTCTGCCTCCCAGGTTCAAGCGATTTTCCTGCCTCAGCCTCCGAAGTAGCTGGGATTACAGGCATGAGCCACTGCGCCAGGCCGCTACTTTTTGTTTACATGAGATTGGAGAAAATTGTAAGAGCAAAATCCAACTGAATTATTACCCGATAATTTATTTAAAATTTTTACTTAGAATATTCTATACCTCCACTACCATGCCACATATTATAGATACTTTAACACCAGAGTAAGGAAAATAAGCCCAAAATACAGTGTAAAAGAAAAGGGTGGCCAGGCTCAGTGGCTCACACCTGTAATCCCAGCACTTTGTGAGGCCGAGGCAGGCGGATCACAAGGTCAGGGGTTCAAGACTAATCTGACTAACATGGTGAACCCCTGTCTCTACTAAAAATACAAAAATTAAAAATTAATAAAAAGTTTGTTAAAAGGACAAAAGGAAAAGGTAGATACGGGGTCTCGCTTTGTTGCCCAGGCTGGTCTCAAACTCCTAGTTTCAAGCGATCCTCCTTCCTCATTTTCCCAAAGGTCTAGGATTACAGGCATGAGCTACTGCGCCCAACCAAATTAGAGACTTTGAAGGGAGACGATAAATAAAATTATCACTGTGAGCTCAAAAGTGAGATAATACATCTTAATCAGGTATCCTAAAGTACTATGTTGTGTAAGTGCTTTTATTATTTTCACTTTATTTTGGGGGGGGACAGAGTCTCTCTGTCACCAGGCTGGAGTGCAGTAGCACCATGTCTGCCTCCCCGGTTCAGGTGATTCTCCTGCCTCAGCCTACTGAGTAGCTAGGACTCCAGACGCGCACCACCACGCCCAGCTAATTTTTGTATTTTTAGTAGATAAGGGATTTCACCATGTTGGCCACGATGGTCTTGATCTCTTGAACTCGTGACCTGCCCGCGTCAACTTCCCAAAGTGCTGGGATTACAGGCGTGAGCCACCGCACCCGGCCATTATTTTCACTTTAATGTTTATTCATTTGGTTTGGGGATTTTAATTTCCTGGAAGGCAAGAATTGGGTTCATGTAAACTTTTACCATGTACAACTTATTAAAGTTTATATGTTGTTGACAATTTAATAATACTTTGAGTAAAGAAGGAAATTATCTGTGTTTTAGGAAGTGGAGCTTCTTCCCGGCCTTTTTTTTTCCCCCCCCCCCCATTTTGGAGCTCTTTGTGCCTTTATTAGCTGAGCCACTTGAGGGGAATGAAGCGGGAGGAGTGTGTGGCCCCAATACCCAGCCAGCCGTGCTTCACGGGCTTGTAGGTGACGGAGAACTCGCCTAGGTAGTGGCCGATCATCTCCGGCTTGGTCTCCACGTGGCTGAAGGTCCTGCCGTTGTAGACGCCCACCATACTGTCCACCATCTGGGACGGGATGATCACGTCCGGTCGGCGCGGGAACACTTCCGCCTTCGCCACTTCCGGCTTCTCCATGGGCGGTTCCGCCTTCGTGGCCTTGCGCAGGCGCTTCAGCAGCAAGTGCTCCTTCCGCCGCAGGCCAGGGTTTAGCCGCTGCCGCTGGCGCCCCCTGTACAGCTGCATCAGCTGCTCGTAGGGCATGTCCAGCAGCTGCTGCATGTTCACGCCGTGGTAGGTGAACTTGCAGAAGGTCGCTTCTTCTGCTTTACCTCTGCCATTCTTGCCGGATTCTCAGAAAAGACTACTCTTGTTTTGTTTTGTTTTTTGAGACAAGAGTCTCGCTCTCGCCCAGGCTGGAGTGCAGTAGTATGATCTCACCACACCCTCCGTCTTCCGGGTTCAAGTGATTCTCCTGTCTCAGCCTCCTGAGTAGCTGGGATTACAGGCGCGTGCCGCCACCCCCAGCTAAGTTTTGTATATTTAGTAGAGACAACAGGGTTTCACCATGTTGGTCAGACTAGTCTTGAACCCCTGACCTCGTGATCTGCCTGCCTCGGCCTCACAAAGTGCTGGGATTACAGGTGTGAGCCACCGCGCCTGGCCTCCCTTTTCTTTTACACTGTATTTTGGGTCTGTTATTTTCTTTACTCTGGTGTCAAAGTACCTGTAATATGTAGCATGGTAGTGGGGGTATAGAATAATCTAAGTAAATTATTCTAAATAAATTATTGGGTCGTAATTGTATTGGATTTTGCTCTTAGAATTTTCTCCAATCTGATGTAAACAAAATGTAGTGGCCGGACACGGTGGCTCACGCCTGTAATCCCAGAACTTTGGGAGGCCAAGATGGGTGGATCACGAGGTCAGGAGTTCGAGACCATCCTAGCTAACACAGTGAAAACCCGTCTCTACTAAAAATACAAAAATTAGCCGGATGTGGCGTGCACCTGTAATTTCATTACTCCGGAGGCTGGGGCAGGAAAATCGCTTGAACCCGGGAGGCAGAGGTAGCAAGCCGAGATCGCACCACTGCTCTCCAGCCCCGGCAACAGAGTTGAGACTGGTTCAAAAAAAAAAGTAGCACATATCCCAGATTTTCAGCCTTGTGTACTTTGTCCACTAATACCAAACATGTTTCCATTGTCACCAAAAAAATCTTCACTGATTTTAACAACTCTCTTAAATTTAGGGTAATTGTGAGAGGCATTTCCTCATTTTTTATACCATATCTTAAAATTCTCATAAGTTTATTGGAAATTATTTGTATTTTGTAGACTTCTGAACAAGAAACTAAAGGCCTTCCCAGCAAAAAAGGAATTGTACAGTCTATTGTTGGTCAAGGCTATCATCGTAAAATAGTTTTGGCATCACAGTCTATACAGAATACTGTTTATAAGTAAGTATTTTGCAAAGAAAAAGTATATATATTTAATACTGGTTTACACGATGTTACTTAAAGTATGCTTAGGATTTATCATTGCATAGGAGGAACCACTTTCTAACTAGGTTTTATTGCTGTTTCAACAAACAGACCCTCATGTTAGAGGTCCATAGTGAATGTTATCTTAACATGTGATTTTGGTTTATTACATTCATGGATGCTGCAATTATTATTATTGATGGCCTAGGAAACCCTAGTCTATTCAGTGCCATTATTAAGAATATCCAGAAGAGGGCATCTTGGTGTCTCCTTTTTATGTAGTTTTGGTTATCATTTGTACTTTTCATTTAGGTATTTTTTTTGTAGTCTCTAGCACTGAAAATACATGAAAGTGAATTCTTAGTATTAGGAGAAAACAAGTGTATTAAAACATAAAGCAACCAACCAAAGCAGTATAGAAGCTGTCACATGTACAGTCTTCATTTGACAATTTGAAATTGCCATTATTTGTAAAGTGTCAGACTTTGCAAAGGATTCGCTGACTTAATTTGTTTTTGTCAAAGAAGAAAATCTCTACCATTTAAAAATTATTCAAAAGTTTAAAAAACATCTGATGTCCAATTTAGTCTTAATTTAGATTAACTATAATGCAGGAATATTTTTAAAGACTTTTATGATAAAGCATTTCAAAATTTTAAAGCAATTTCAACATGGTTACTACTTTTCAAAATTTTATTTTTCCCTAATATAGATTCTGTTTGAATATATCAAACCAATAGAAAGTTGTATAAAATGTCATTGAAATTATCAGACCAAAGGTAGGGTTGCTGTTTAAGTGTATAGAGAGGCATTTTTGAAAACAAGGATCAACCAAAGTAAGCCTCAAACATGAAAATCTATTTTCTTCCCTCCAATCCCATTCTTAATAAACCTGTCATGGCCCTCATTACAGTTGCCCTTGAGCGCTTGTCTGCAGTTTCTCTAGTATGTTAACATTAACAATGTAGATAGATATCAAATTGTCTCTCCCCCTTGGTCTCATTCATAGAGACACAGTGTACGTAATTTATATACTTGCAACCCATACTGTTTACGATCTATACTCAGGATTTAGATTCTATAGTGTTCTTTTATAACAGCTTATATTAAAATTTCTACCTATCAAAAGGCAAAACTTTCATTTATAATCCATTGGTTTTATTCCTTATAATAAAAAGTCTTATTTAAAAATTTTTTATTTACTTAGCTAATTTGGTTTTGTTCTTTTAAGTGATGGGCAGTCTTCGGCCATTCCTGTAGCCAGTATGGAGTTTGCAGCCATATGTCTCAGAAATGCCTTGTTGCTGCTGCCTGAGGAACAGCAAGATCCAAAGCAAGAAAATGGGTCTAAAAATAGTAATCAATTAGGTGGGAACACAGAGAGCAGTGAAAGCAGTGAAACTTGCAGGTATTCTAATCCTTGTGACCTCCCTTGGCAAAATCCTTTCAGGACTTCTTTAGTAAACCCTTTTGGTTTTTAAGTAAATTCCTAATATCTTCAGCCTAAATTTCTGAAATTCTCTGTTTTGCATAACAGGAAGGGAAAGTATTTATATTTCTAGTCTTTCTGGAAGAGAGAAATAAGGTGAAAGCTAAGTTAGGAGAGATCCCTGAAAAAGAAAAGTAGAAAGTAGCAGCTTTGGTGTGGTGGCTCACTCCTGTAATCCCAGCACTTTGGGAGGCTAAGATAGGCAGATCCCTTGAGGTCATGAGTTTGAGACCAGCCTGGCCAACATAGTGAAATCCCGTCTCTAGTAAAAATACAAAAAATTGGCTAGGTGTAGTGGTGGGCACCTGTAATCCCAGCTATTCTGTAGGCTGAGGCAAGAGAATCCCTTGAACCCAGGAGGTTGCAGTGAACCAAGATTGTGCCACTGCACCCCAGCCTTGGCAACAGAGTGAGACTTTGTCTCAAAAAAAAAAAAAAAAGGAAAAGAAAAAAGGAGGAAACTAGCAGCTTTTCATTGACAGGAGGGATGTTTGTAAGAAGTCCTGTTGTCGGCCAGGCACGGTGGCTCATGCCTGTAATCTCAGCACTTTGGGAGGCTGAGGCAGATGGATCACCTGAGGTCAGGAGTTCAAGACCAGCCAGGCCAACATGGCAAAACCCTGTCTTTTAAAAAAAAAAAAAAAATTGGCCAGGTATAGTGACTCATGCCTGTAATCTCAGAACTTTGGGAGGCTGAGGCAGGCAGATTACTTGAGGTCAGGAGTTTGAGACCATCCTAATAACATGGAGTAACCTCATCTCTACTAAAATTATAAAATTAGCCTGGTGTGGTGCCACATGTCTGCAATCCAGCTACTCAGGAGGCTAAGGCAGGAGAATCGCTTGAACTGGGGAGGTGGAGGTTGCAGTGAGTTGAGGTAGTGCCATTGCATTTCAGCCTGGGCAACAAGAGTGAACCTCTGTCTCAAAAAATAATAAATTTTGGCCAGGCATGGTGGCTCATGCCTGTAATCTCAACACTTGGGCAGTCTGAGACAGTTGGATCACTTGAGGTCAGGAGTTTAAGACTAGCCTGGCCAACCTGGTGAAACCGTATCTCTATTAAAAATACAAAAATTAACCAGGCATGGTGGCGGGCACCTATAATCCCAGCTACTGGGAAGGCTGAGGCAAGAGAAGCTCTTGAACCTGGGAGGTGGAGGTTGCAGTGAGCCAAGTTCATTCCAGTGCACTACAAAATGAGATTACTTCTCAAAAAAACAAAAAAATTATTAAAGTAAGTGCTTAACTCCTAAAGCTTCTCATTTGTTACTATCCTCTGCTTGTCACCTTAATATACTCTAATTACCAACCTCCAGAATATTTTTGTATAGTTCTAGTTTCTAGTATAAATTCAAAATTGTGCAAATCTAGGCAGGGAGCTGGAGGCCAAGAGTTCAAGTTTAGCCTGGGCAGCATATCAAGACCCCATCTCTTCAAAAAAATAAAGATAATTAAAAATTATGTGACTCTTTAGAAATTGGGAGAACTTATCTTGTAAGGATAAAACAAATACCATTATATATAGGAAATTCTTTTTCTTTTTTGTTTGTTGAGACAGTCTCCCTCCATCGCCCAGGCTGGAGTGCAGTGGCACAATCTCAGCTCACTGCCACCTCCACCTCCCAGGCTCAAGCACTTCTGCCTCAACCTCCTAAGTACCTGGAATTACTGGCGAAGCACCACTACACCCGGCTAATTTTTGCCTTTTTAGTAGAGACAGGGATTTGCCATGTTGTTGAGACTGGTCTTGAACTCCTGGCCTCAAGTGATCTGCCCACCTCCACCTCCCAAAATGCTAAGATTGCAGGCATGAGCCACCACGCCCAGCTAGAAACTCTGCTTTTTAAACATGACATCTTTAAACTCATGTCTCCCATCCCAGTGTTTT